CTGCTCTGACGTCTAAAGACATAGCCCCCCCCCCCCCCCCCCCCCTTTAAGATAAAATCTTATATTTGAGCCCCAAAAAGTGAGAAAAAATTTGGAAATTCTTTGGATTGAACCCAGATCGCCCACTAGAAAATTCAACATGCTAACCATTACACTATCAAACACCGTCTCTTAAAATTGAAAAATGATAAATATTCAGAGTATGGGTTAATCAATTTTTAAACAAACTACATATTTAGCATTCTTGTAAGACTCTTTATTAAGCCTATCAACATCATAAAAAAATATTGAAAAACAAAAAAGTTCAAAAAATTACCCTTTTTAAATCACTTCCTGTGACGACCGGAAGTTACGACGACACACGAAATGTTTCCATCACACATCTACAAACCAAATTCTATCATACCTGAAAGTTTCAGACTCCTACCTTTAACAGTTTCTGAGAACATTCATGGACTAGATTTTAAGTGTAAAAAGTGAAAAATCGTAATAATTCCCGACCGGAAGTAAATTTTTCCAAACTTTTTCAATATTTCAAAATGGCATGAGATAACAAATCATTCCTGAAAATTTGGCTGAAAATGAATGAGTAGTTTTTGAGATATCGCGATTTGAAAAGGTCAGAAAAATAAAAATGAAAAATAATAATAAAAATAATAATAATAATAATAATAAGAAACAGTAGAATCACTATAGGTCTTCCGTTGAAAACGGAAGACCTAATAATAATAAGAAGAAACAGTAGAATCACTATAGGTCTTCCGTTGAAAACGGAAGACCTAATAATAAGAAACAGTAGAATCACTATAAGGTCTTCCGTGAAGACGGAAGACCTTAATAATAATAAGAAACAATAGAATCACTATAAGGTCTTCCGTGGAGACGGAAGACCTTAATAAGAAACAATAGAATCACTATAAGGTCTTCCGTGGAGACGGAAGACCTTAATAATAAGAAACAGTAGAATCACTATAAGGTCTTCCGTGAAGACGGAAGACCTTAATAATCTTAACCATCAGAATCAGTAGAAGGTCTCCCCCTGGAGCGGAAGACCTTAATTAAGTCAACTAATCAGTTATCCAGATTTATTTTTAGTTGTTTGTTTTCTTTACATCTGAGAAACTTTCACACACAGTTACACTCCACCTAGCACCTATGCCAGCACCTACTGAAAATTTCGTACAAACTACTAAATCATTGCCAAATAGCCATGACATCATTGATTATAGTTATATTTACAGTATTCACTGCAATTCACACAGCCCATGAAAACTAATAATTAACAAATTTACAATTTTTCTTTCATTTGAGTTTGCTATGTACTGCCGGACGTTGTATTGTGCTCAAAATAAATGTCACTACGATACCACACTCCACAGAGAAAAACAAAATCACAAAAATATCTCTCTTTAACAAATAGTATAAATTAAAAAATGTTTAAAAAACTAAATAAAATGTAGTTAGAATTTAACAGCGTAAACAATTTATCACATGTATCTTTTCGGGGTCTTGTATAACACTTAAAGAAGTAAATAAACATTGATGCAGCAAGATTAAGGTCAAACGTTTATGCACAGATGGGTCCTCAGCGGGAAGTTTTGCTTCAAAGTGTACATCAGGTTACATGCTCCCCACATTAGTGTTTGCCTGGTAACACAACCTTCAATTATTTATAGAATGTGACGCAGACAGGAGGACATGATAAAAACCCTTCGCATATTTTAAATTAATAATTAATCGGAGAAGAGGGGAGAAATTTTTCTTTTTTGAGAATGTCATATTACTTTGTTTAATTAAGTGATTGTATTGCCTCAAAGGTGATTGAGCATACGTACTATATTCTTACTCGCAAATTTGGCGGTGAGGAAGCAGCATTTCCGGTTGAACACCTTAACAAAAGCCGGCTATTGCTCTACGAGCAATGAGCCCGGCTAAAAATGAAAATTTGTGTACGAATTGACTTCTGTGGATTGCATACGAATATTGACTCCTTATATACGAATCGGTTTATGTACGAATAAGTTGTAAGTCGGCGTTTTTTAATGAATATTCATGAGGCAAAAAATATTGATAACAGCAAATATCAGGAATTAAACTTTGTGCCCATCAACAAAATGTCATTGAGATAACTTGAGAGTATTTGTTAGATATGTGCATTTTATTTTCGAACATTGAAACAACCCCACTTTCAATATTTTGACTCTCCAAAAATTGCCGCTAGGGTCCCCGTGATTTTGCAATATTGTTTATTCATAGCCCAGAGTGGCAGCAATAGCCTGCAGAGTTGTGGAAAACTTTTTCAGATAGCCAGTCATTTGGACAGGCAAGAAGACAAAATAAGCCGGTCCGAAGTGATTGTTGCCGGTCCGAAATAGTAGGTCACAAAATTTAAAAAAAAGCATAACATTTATTTACTTCATTACACATCTATTAGTATAACATTCAGTATCCATCCCCAAGTCCTCTTCCATTTTTTGCATTTATTGTGTTTATAACGATACTAGATTTCACCGCTTTGAGGCTGGTGACAGTGCTAATTCAGCATACCGTAAATCTGGAAATTTTTACTGTAGATAAATTTTTAGCAAATTTGCGTGTGCATTGCATTCGCAAAAATATTTTTCTTAAAAATAAATCAACAACAAAAAATGTAAACAAAAAGTTTGCTGACAGCTTGTGGCTATTTTTTCTTTATTCCAGTGAACAGGTGTTCATAAGCAGTAGCCAATTTAAGAAACCTGTTTATACTACAAGCTAATTACCCGTGATAATCCGTGCATGGAAAGTGTCTTCACTACATTCGTGTCTCTTTTAAATTATTTCTCCAAGAAAGAGAGGCCAGTTTTATATATATCACGTAATTCAATATTAATTAGACGTTTTTCTCTTCTTATACCCGGTAGAGAATGTTTTTATTTGAAGGTTAGTTAAAGCTGACATCGTTTTATGTACATGCGTGATTTAATAAAATGTTATGCCAACTCGTTTAATATTGTATGTACATGCGTAATTTATTGTATGTATATATGCATAATTTATAATCTGATTATTGAACGTTGGCATCGCTTATTATTGTATACGTACGAGTACATGGGTGATTTATTGTATGTACCTGCGTTACGTATAAACTGTTTTGAAAATTTTAAGCGCTTTTCAATTGAACACCAATGGCAATTCGCAAAATTTTGAAACGTAAAAATTAATCGACAGCTTTTTGACCCAGATTCGCAGAAATAAATTGACGTAAAAATTTCCAGATTTACGGTAGTAAACGTAATTTTTTTTAAACAATTATGCACATGGGAATTATATTAACCTAGAAAAATTGAAGAAATTCTGTGCATCGATAATAAAGATATCAACACGATCGATGAAAAAATGAAATCCGGGACAGTCGGAAGTATTAGATTTACCGCTTTCCCCAACTGTGTTTGAATTCCCTCTGTCAAAATTTTTCATATTTAGCTTGTCTTTATTATGCTTTCTGCCTAATTTTGTCCCAGTTGTAAATTTAATAGGTCATGAGACCATGCTGGTTTCGCTTTCATCTATAGCCTCGATCTCGTGTAAAGAAAACTATTACGCAATCGCATATAAGTAATTATGCTTGGAAGTGAGCCAATGATAAATGGAAAAAGAAAAATTAACCAAAAAAGGTGCCTGTCATTTGGACCGACATCGACAGCATTTTTACCGGTCATACGCATTTTTTGCCGGTTTTGCCGGCATGACCGACAGTTTTCCACAACTCTGGCCTGTGGCTATAAATAACCACCATCTAAAAAGCGGATATAAAAATGAAAGTATTGAAAGAATAATAAACAAGCAAGTATCTATCAATGTTTATTATGTAAAGTGCAATTCTATATCTGATCACACTACATGCACATCTACTTAAAGTTGGATGACAGCATAGCTTATTATAGTAGAGCATGTTATCTTACAGAACATTGTTTATTTGTGATTTTCTTTCCTGATACTTTAGGTCAAGATCTAGTATATGAGTTTAGACTATCTTTTTGGTGCTAGATCCATTATGACGTCATAATAGATTTTAAAACTTAATTTTTCCCATACTTTATGGCTGTAATAGAATTATGTAGAAAATGAAGCATTTTCATGAAATTCAGTTTGAAATCATGTTAAAAGTAGCCCCGATACCTAAGTCAAATCTAATATCATTTTAAAGCAGAAGTCAAAAAGATATGAAAAACCATTTTCTGGGAGACTGTAGGCAATCTGGATACATTTCCTTTCTCTGAGTTGGGAAAAACTCCGAAATTTATACTTGATTTCTCTCATTTTTCATTGAAAATGTCCATTTAAAAAATCTTTTTTCATTGAGTTTACCTAAAAATTATGTCCCGATACACCTTATTTTACCCAGCTATATTTGTAAAGGATCATTAAAAGAACTTGTTTCTCAAATTCGAAAAATCTGTAGGCACCTTATATTTACTAGATCTTGACCTTAAGAGTAAAAATATATCCCAAAAGGAGATATCGTCATTTACAAATGCATTTGCTGATTAGTTGAACAATAATATCAGTTGACTCCAATCACAACTCGAGAAAGAAAATCCAGACTTTGATAGTACCATAGGCCAAGGGTTTGTGAGGAGAGTAGCGGATCAAAAACCCTTCAAGTTGGCTATGGAAAAAAGATGGTAAATTGGAGGAGTGCAGTGGCCAACTGTTTGACAATTAAAGCCTCACTCATTACTCTTATCATCTCCAAAATAGTGTCAGGTCATAACTATAAGGACATATGGATTAAATCTTTTAAATAAACCTTCAGATATACATTATTGACTAAGAACATGAAGAATAAATTTAAAATATTACAGTTCATTTGAGTTGAAAAATGTATTATTTTATATCAAAATCTGCATTAAACTGTTTCTGTTTCTTTTTACGGAAAACCATTTATTTGTGTGAACGGCAGAGATGTCAACATGTTACAATGTAAATGGAAAGGGCATTTGTTATTTTTTTTACAGCCAAAAGTAAAAAAGATTTTCAATCTCTTGATGATGATTGGGTGCAGATGTTTGTCCCTTCTATGGGCGATGAAAAGAAAAAGGACACTGTTTCAAGAAAAATAAATTCAATTTTGAATTTGGAGAGGAGAAATATATTGGTGGACTGTGAACGTTTGCAGGAGAAAGAGTTGAAATATTGCATGAAATTAATGTGTTACATTTTAAATGAAAGGGTTGGAAAAGACCTAGAGATATCAAAATGTGAGTTTCATGACACCAGACAAGAGATGTTCTGTTGGATGACTGAGATTATCGATAAACATCTCAACAACAAGAATGTAAATGTGATGGAGTGGAAAGGTAAAATTCAAATCTGAAAGAATGAGTGGACACCTGATGTGCACACATTTTTTTGTAAAAATAAAGTATGAATGCACGTTTGTTGGCTCATCTTCTTTTAATATGACATTATTTTGTTCAAAATATAACTAGTTTTCTCAAGAACAGTCAACGAACATGTATATACATGTATTAAGGCATTAAATAAAGCATGATCCTGGTTATCTGTTGATATTCAAGAAATTTCCAGATCTCATGCCTTTGATTTTTATTATATCCCCCGCAAACAAAGTTTAATAGGTGGGGGTATATTGGAATCATCTTGTCCGTCTGTCTGCATGTCCATCCGTCTGTCTGTCTGTAGACATGATTTTGTCCAGACATTACTGCATGGATTTGTCTGAAAATTTGTACACTTATTATTCACCATATAAAGATGTTCACCTGGTATTTTCATCATGATTGGATAATTTTTCTTCATTTCACAGGTGTTTTTTTTTTCATTGTTTACAAAATCGGAAAACAGTCATGTGGTTAGAGCCATTTCAGCGTTTTTTCCTAATTATTGTCGTAAAAACACATTTTCAGACCCATAGGAGTTACAGATAATGTTAATTTTGTATTAAAATCACAATATTTGGGAAAGGTGCAATGTGGCAGATATGACTGCATGAAATTAAAAAGCTGTGCAAAGTTTTGCACACTTGAATTAGACTCGGCCTCATTAACAGTGGCCAAATCTGATTAAATAGTTGGACATACATCCAGTTAAAGATTAATTAAGGAGTTCAAAGAAGGAAGGCTGTCTTAGTCATGCTTGCATGCTAGAGCATCTCTCATCAAGCAGGTGTTTTCTATATCTCCTTGAAATTGGGCAGAAGAATTAAAGATCTGCATTGTCTCTCTTACTTGCAATTAATAGCATCTTTCATTAGAGTCAAATTAAAATACATACCGGTAGTTACATGTACTCAATGGCTAGCCTTCTATTTTCAAAATTAACTTGCTTTAAAGTTATCAACTGAAGACTAATTTGATATTGTACATCATGTATAAGATGATTTTTTTAATCTCAATAAACAAATGTTCAGAGTGAAATGTCTCGCATAGCAGATGACAGATGGTTGTAATTAAGTTTTATTATCTAATAAAAAACAATATTATGATTAGTATTTTGATGTTTTAGTAAGCTGCTGCTTAATTCATCATAAAATTTAAAAAAAAAATAAATTTTGACTGTCAATGTTAACAAAATGTTAACAGCTTGTAGATCGATCCATAAAATACTTTTAGTGACTTGGTACCTTTTCTGAAAAACCAAGCGGGGGATATTGTCCATATTAGACAGTTCTAGTTTAGTTTTCCTTGAAAAGAACTTTTTAACTTAATTCATATATGTATCAAGAATACACAGTTAAGGTAAACTGCAATTTATATTGGAAAGAAATAAATATTTTATAAAACTTCAGTTTACAGCTTTTTTCAGGACTCTTAAGTCCATGCACACATTCTTTGATGGTGACATTATATAAATGAAGACAAATATTTTTGTGAAGGAAAACTTTTTTTTTTACAGGAAGAATAATAGACATGGATGTTCAGGAGGGGCAGTTAGCCCATCAGAAGGTATTGAATTTTTTAATGTTATTATCATTTGGTGCTTAAAAACCATATAAACATATTTTAACAACAGTAAACAGTGATCCCTCAACAAGTCCTCAGACATTCTATGTAAGCATGTATTGATTGATTGTATGTTGTTTTACGGTCCCATTCAAGAATTTTTCACTCATATAAAGACGTCACCATATACCGGTGAAGGGCTTCAAATTTTGACAATTACTCGGCACTCAGGGCCATTGAACAGTGAGGGATCTTTATCGTACCAACGCCTGCCGTGACACGGGGCCTCGGTTTTTAAGGTCTCATCCGAAGGACCCGCAACTTTCACTTCAAAGTGCTGACGCATGGCGAAGGAACAATTGCTACCCATTTTTTATCAACTTAGGTCAGTTGCGGCCAATATTCGAAACTCACGATCTCCAGATCGCCGAGCGAGCGTTCTACCGACTGAGCTACTGTGAACGGTATATGTAAGCATGTAATATCAGGCCTAAAATTTGATTTATTAAACTACATAATTGAAAGCTGATCATTACAGGCTGTTATGGGCACTATA